CACACACACACACACACACACACACACACACACACACACAAACATACATACACACATACAAACAAACACAGATACATAAACACACACTCACACACACATACATAAACACACACTCACATACACACATACATAAACAAACACACACATACATAAACACACAAATACATAAACACACACACACACACACACACACACACACACACACACACACACACACTCACACGCACACACAAACATTCGCACACACAAGTAGAGTTACTTCAGTCTGTAATTAACTCGAAGTTCCCCAACACAAAAGTTGTCCAACATGACACAGTACAAAGGTCTTCCTCCGTTCCTCAACCACCCAATGAGGATCCGACATGCATTCGCAAGTCAACCAGAAGTCAACGAAAAACGCAGTCAACCAAAAACGCTTTTAGGCCCTGTTTAGGGAAACTTTTAAAAAGGAAACGTAAATCTATATTATTATTTAAACAGAATTTTCATAATCTGGTTTGTTTTGTTTTGTTAGTTGGTTAAAAAAATAAAGTGCATGTATACCTCTGTGTGTTGTTTTGTTTTGTTATTTGGTTTAAAAAAAATTCAATTCTGGTTGTTTGCTTGTTTGTTTGTTTTGTTTTGTTATTAAAAAATAATAAAGTGCATGTATACCAATGTGCATAACACCAATGATGATGATGATGATGATGATGATGATGATGATGACGACGACAACGATAGACCTACCTTCCTCAAAACCTCCACATAGCCCTCGTCTGTGAACTCGCCGGCTGCCCTATCCACGAAGTTGGTGGTGGAGAAGCTCAGTCTTTTCACGGGCGGTTCGATCGACAGCAATTTCTGGTTGAGGGACTCCGTCATGAGATGAAAGATTCCTCTCTTCCTGAAGCTGGTGTTCACTCGCCCGCCTCTCTTCACCGCGGATTCCCCCCCGTCAAGAACATGAAGCAAATAAAAGCCAACCTGGGGTCAATGGAGAAATTGGACTCTACAACTGTATCTCTGAATACGGCATGTACATATTGTGTACATCGCTACCTTAGATCTACAACGTTCTATCCGCTCAGTATATTATGTACCTAGGTTTGACGTTAACATTGTGAGTTTTACTAATACTAATAATGTCAATGATAATAAAGAAGAAGAAGAAGAAGAAGAAGAAGAAGAAGAAGAAGAAGAAGAAGAAGAAGAAGAAGAAGAAGAAGAAGAAGAAGAAGAAGAAGAAGAAAAAGAAGAAGAAGAAGAAGAAGAAGAAGAAGAAGAAAAAGAAGAAGAAGAGAGAGAGAGAGAGAGAGAGAGAGAGAGAGAGAGAGAGAGAGAGAGAGAGAGAGAGAGAGAGAGAGAGAGGAGGGGAGAGAGAGAGAGAGAGAGAGAGAGAGAGAGAGAGAGAGAGAGAGAGAGAGAGAGAGAGAGAGCATTTGCATAGCGCCAATTCCCTCTCATTCGCAAGCTGTATGCGCTTTACAATCTAAATGATTACCTCCAGCAGACCCGATGACACAGTATGAGCATGACATTGATAAATCAGTCCATTTACAATTCTACTGAGAATAAGAACATGTTAATCATGTCCCCTCCCCCCCAAAAAAAAATTGGGAATGGCCTAAAAACAACTTCAGTCAGTAGCACTGCTCTGGTTGGGGGGGGGGGGGGGGGTTGGTTTTTGCGGTTCTAAACATGCCATAAAAGATATAAAAGAAGTTGCTTACCCTCTAGCATAAGGCTTTAGTCAGAATAAGCATCATAATGTGTATTGCTCTTTAGAGTATGTATCTACGAGTATATAACTCCAGAGGTCTTGTAATCAAATTCCTGCATGTGGTTGAATGATACATCTGATGTGATATGTACATGTTTTTACGGTCCTATAAGCCAAAACAAATTTCCCAATGGGATAATAAAGTATTATCTTATCATATCTTATCTTATCTTAACTATCGCTGATCGGACATAAAAAATTGATCCGTGTGTTCGCTACGACCTTATAGAGTTAAGAAAAATATGACACCATCACAACAATCACAGTTAGATTTATGCAGATGTTTTTATGTTCTGATCGAAGCGGTTAAAAATAAAAACAGCCTTTTTTTCTCAGGGATTTAGTAGAACTTGTTACACTCATATTACGACAATTCAGAGAGGCGGTCTGTTTGTTGACTCAGGAGGAATTTACAAGTAAGAATGGAGAGTGCCTGAGCCAAGTGTCCCCTTAACGAACACACAGACAGACAGACAGACAGACAGACAGACTGACAGATAGACAGGCAGGCAGGCAGACAGACAGACAGACAGACAGACAGACAGACAGGCAGGCAGGCAGGCAGGCAGGCAGGCAGGCAGACAGACAGACAGACAGACAGGCAGGCAGACAGGCAGGCAGGTAGACAGACGCACAGACAGACAGACAGACAGACAGACAGACAGACAGACAGGTAGGCAGGCGGGCAGGCAGGCTGACTGACAGACAGACATATAGACACACAAACAAACAAACAAACAAACAAACAAACAAACAAACAAACAAACAAACACATCTCTCTCACCGGCTTACAGTCGACCTCGGCGACGATGGCGTAGATGTTGGGGTCATCCAGGAACATGTGGAACATGGAGGGGAGGTAGTCCCTGCCTCCGTACACGTCACCGATCTCCATGATGTCGTCATAGTCCTCATGGCGGGCAGTCCGGATCTGGATCTCTTCACACATCCTGAATCTTGCTGGGCCCGCTTTCAATGAAAGAGATGATCGGTGAATTAACATCAACTGAAAGTCATTGGCCTACTATAATATTTACTCTCAGTACTTCGTCCTCGTCGGGGGAGGTGGAGACAGGACAAAGTAGGGGATAACTGGGTCCGGGTGAAGTTCGATGTGACTTTATGTCACACTGAGGCGTTACGCTAGCCGTGAAGGCCGACCCGGGCCACCCTGAAACGTTGCTGGCTAAAGGGGCTCTGGTGAAACCGTGACTGGCCTAGCAAGCCGACGGTGAATAATAACTGCTACGAAAAAATCAAAAGAAAAAACACGGACAGATTCAAACGGGAAAATGACCTGGAAAAGTAAACGGACAGCGAGCTAGAACAACGATTAAAATAGGCACATGGAATGTCAGCGAACTTGGAGACAAAGAACCAGAAATAGTGGATTTCATGGAAAGAAAGAAAATAGCAATCATGGGCTTGTCAGACATAAGGAAGAGAGGAAACCACAGCAAGCTGACCCATAAAGGCTACCTACTGATCTGGAGCGGAACACCTGAAAATGAGAGAGCCAAACATGGTGTAGCTTTCATCATACACCCAGCCAAAATGGACACAATCTATGAAATCAATCAGATCTCAGAGAGAATAGTGAGTATAAAACTCATAGAGGGTGACAAAACAACTACGTACATCCAAACATACGCTCCCTGTAACGACAGCTATACAGAGGAAGATAGACACTCATATTTCCAAGACCTGAGTGACCATATTAACACCATCAAGAACAAAGAAGATATGTTTATCTTGGGAGATTTAAATGGCAGTGTTGGACGAAGAATAGCCCCATGGGAAGAGTACTTGGGATCCCACAGCGATAAAGATACAGACTGCAACAGCAATGGAGAAATGATACTAAACCTATGCGCTGAGCACGACATGATGATTACGAACACATGTTTCCAACATAGACAAAGTCAGATCAAGAACTGGTACAAATGGAGTGACCTGAACCATGCTTCACAAATTGATTTCATCCCGATGCGCAGAAAACAAAGACGTACAGCCAAAGATTCGAGAGCGGTTCCAAACTACATCATCGACAAGGACCAATGTCCTGTGATTACTCTCACAACTCACAACGTAAAGCAAACAAAGAAAAACAGGGGGAAAACCACGACTAACCTAAAAAAAAATTGGAAGAACCAGACATCGAGAAAGCAGTTGAGGATGACATTACCAAGGAGTACTTTAAACTGTCACCTGAGACCAAGGACATAGAAGACGAATGGCAAATATTCCAAAAATCCCTGTCAGAAATACTAAAAAACTGTTGTGGCACCAAACGAATAGGTGTAAACAAAGGCAGAACAACATGCTGGTGGAATGATGAAACCAAAGAAGCAATTAGAATGAAATAGAAGAAATTCAAGAAATGGCAGAAGTCAAAGACCGAAGAAGACTAAATAGAATACAGGAAAGCGAGAAGAGAGACCAAAAGAATCATCAAAACTGCTAAAGAAAATGCATGGAAAATATATGGTGAGAAGCTGACCACAATCTGTAAGGAAAGCCCAAGAGAATTTTTTTAAAGTGTGAAGAGCATGCGGATAAGGAAAGACCCATACAACCCGACATGCGTTATAAAAGATAAAGAGGGAAACACCATTCTCGGCAAACATGCAATCAACAAAAGATGGGAAAATTACTTCCAAGAACTGCTCAACCCAGACGCTTGCCACGGAACAACAAGTAGAGTTCCAACCATCCTATGGAGATCAAACAGATCAAACAGATCCACCAATACTTCCCAGTGAAATAGAAAAGGCACTCAAGACGAGCCCAAGAACAAAGCCCCTGGACCAGATGACATCACAGCGGAAGCCATAAGAGCTTGTGGAAACACCGGTATACTGTGGCTGAGGCGTATTTTCAACAGAGCCTGGGAACAAAGAAAATGCCCAGAAGACTGGCAGAAAGCCATAGTGGTACCATATGGAAAAAAGGGCAACAAACGCGACTGCACAACATATAGAGGCATCTCACTGTTAAGCCACTCAGGAAAAATATATGCAAAGATACTAGAGCAGCGCATAAGATCTATTGTAGAGAGAAATCTGAGCAAAGATCAGTTTGGATTCCGAAAGGGAAGAGGGTGCACGGATGCCGTATTCGCATTACGGCAGATATGCCAGAAAACAATCGAACACAACAGAGAATCCAACATCGTCTTTATAGACCAGGAGAAGGCTTTTGACAGAGTAAACCATGCAAAACTCTGGAAGACACTCGAAAATTATGGTGTCAGAGGACAATTGTTAGATAATGTCAGAACTCTATATACCAACAGCAGAAGCTCAGTAAGAACGAAGGAAGGAAATACAGACTGGTTCAAAGTAAGATCTGGAGTACGACAGGGATGCGTTCTATCTCCCCTTCTGTTTATAATATATATGGACACAATAACGCAAGAAGCAAGCAAACCAAATCCCAGAAAGCCTAAATAAAGTTATGTTCGCAGACGACCAATGTCTAATTCATCATGGCCAACAAAACCTCCAAAATCACACTAACGAACTCAACAACACCTGTGAGAAATTCAACATGAAAATAAGCACATCAAAAACAGAAGTTATGAAAGTGAGCCGAAACCATAGTCCCCTGAACATCCATGTCAATAGTAAACAACTGAAACAGGTGAAAGAGTTTAAATATCTTGGCAGCATTTTTTCTGAAAACGGGTCCATAGACAGATAAATAGAAATGCGAACTCAAAAAGCGAACGCTGTCACCTACCAGCTCGCACCCCTCCTATCTCATCCAAACATCTCCATGGACACAAAGAGACAGCTTATCACCTCAATATTCATATCAACATTATGTTATCAGTGCCAGACCTGGACCTTAAGCAAAACCCATGAAAGCAAAATCACCGCATGCGAAATGAAATGTCTCCGCAAAACCCTTAACGTCACCAGACGAGACAGGCAGAGAAATGAAGAAGTAAGAGCAGCTATCGGCACTGAGTCCTGCCTGCGTTACATAGAAAGACAGAGGATAAAATGGTTTGGCCACCTGTTACGCATGTCACCTGACCAACCAGCCTTGAGAGCCTACAACACCAAGCACTCAGGCTATAAAGGAAGAGGAAGGCCACGCAAAAGGTGGATCGAGGGTGTCAAGGAAACCCTAAGAAAGCATAACATCACAACTGAAAGAGCTGCGGAGCTAGCCTACCATAGAAAACTGCATCTCCCCTCGACGCTTAACGGCAACAGAGGATGAAAAGGTAAAAGTAAAAGTACTGGAATTGAGCAATAAATCTTGGGAGTTGCAAGAAATTAGAATGTCTTGATCTAGTTTTATACTCTCGAGACAACAGTGCGCACGGGTAGTTAACGGAAACCTCACTCGTTTACAATGGCGTTTTAGAAGTCGGACTTTCCCCAGTCCCAAGATCGTATGGGCTTTGAATGCTCCAAATCTTTTTGCACTCTCGCTCGTTTACAATTAACGAGCAAGAGACGCTTCTCAATATCATCTAACAAATCACGTACTGCTGATTTGGGGGCAGCAAGGTGTTATAAATACGCCCCCACTCTAAGGTTCCCTGTCCTACAGGATGCCGCTCTGGGCAGTGGCGTCCAGTTTGTAATTACACTTCTCGCGCGGGTCGCGCCGTGATGCTAACCTGGACAGTGGTGTGTCCAACAATACGAGTTGTAATTACACTTCTCGGGCGGGTCGCGCCGTGATGTTAACCTGGACAGTGGTGTGTCCAACAATACGAGTTGTAATTACACTTCTCGGGCGGGTCGCGCCGTGATGCTAACCTGGACAGTGGTGTGTCCAACAATACGAGTTGTAATTACGCTTCTCACGCCGGTAGCGGAGTCCAGGGTACTAATTTCGTCTGGTATATACGAGCCACGAGCCGTCTGGCTTCACTTTGTTACATCAAGACACGTGTATAATTCTAAGAATTACATTCGAAAAAAGCTTGACATGTTGTGGAACTCCAATTTTTTTTACATCAAATTTCTCAGAACTAGGTACTGGCCTGATAGAACTTTGTAATTCTGGGTTATAGACATCATGAATTAATATGTACTATATATACTGTACAACATACTGTGTTGTGTGGACCTATACTGGGACATCTGAGTAGAGATAAGACCTTAGATCTCTTCACGTAGATTTTTTAGTTTAGTTTTAGTAGAGGTTTTTACGGCGCTCGCAACTGCATAAGGTCAAGCGAGCGCCAGAAGTTTAGAGGTGTTACAAGAGAGTAACAAACATAAAAATGAAGAGGGGGAGATAAGGACGATAGCTATTTGATAGGAAAGAAGAAGCAAACCACACCAGACCGCCAAACGCCCACTCATGTAGATCTATCCTGAAATATTCAGATCTAAGCAGAACAATGATCAAGCCTACACTGGGACATCTGAGTAAACATACAGATCTTCATCTTTTCACACATCCTGAAATAATATATGTGAGGTGTGCTGACAAAATGAGTTAAGTCCAGAATTTTACCCCTATGGACAGAGAGAGATACATGAAATTTATAGGTTTATTTACTATTTGTTATGAGATAATAAAAGACATGTTTAACTTGAAGAAAAAATGGCGTCCCTTAAAAATATACAAACTTGATGTGTCTCTTTTGGGCTGACGTCTCCACTCATGGGTTGTGAGAAGTAACTCTTTTTGTCAGCACGTCTCATGTATGGATTTTATATAAGTAGTATAACTGCAATGTAGTATAGGCCTATACCGGAACAATTTTTAAGTATTTTATAATATATATTATTACTATTAT